TATATATATTAGTGAAACGCTATTGTCAGTTTCAGACATCACTACAATTGTGCTTCAGTTGGAGAAATTTAGATTCATCTTGTAAGATATAATATTTAATAAAATTTGGTATTAACCTGTCATTAATTTGATGGATAGACTTTAGTAATATTTTTCTCCTTTAGTTTATGTTAAAATACCAGCTGTTGTTTACTTGTTTTGTCCACCTTCTGTGAGTTTTCTTTTAAGTTTTTAGTTTGGAAGGTGCTTGCTGTTTGTTTGTATTTATGCTATTAAACCTAAAACAAAAGAAAATTATATGAAAAAAGAAAACATCACTACAATAATACATATTTGAGGAGTGACTGGAAGCTACTTGAGCATCACTTTTTCATTACTCTCAAAAACCAAGATTTTCAAGTGAGGAAGGCTTTAAAAGAGTTTCTTTCTTTAGGAAGAAATAAAACAGCATTTCAGAAAAAAGCTACAGTAAAACAAAAAAATTGCATTGACTCTCATGTTATGTTCTTTTATTATAAGAAATACTAATTAAAGTGCCGCCCTTTAAAATACCTTCAGGTAAAACTACGAATTTTCTGTTTTGTTCTTGGTTTTTGCCTTTTTGCCTCAGAATTTGTAAAGGAAAACTGAAACCATTGAGTAAATTTTGTACAAATTTCTTAAAATAAAAGATGTGTATTTCTTTTTTTTTACCAGAGAGATGCTTCAAACAGCTATGAAAGTAGATTTAAAATGAAAAGAAATGACTAAAACATCACATTACAAAATAAATTGCATTAAAGTTTTTTTTTGTATTTTGACCTCACCTCTGCCGTCCTGGCAGCAGTCTCCAGTTTCCCTCGGTGGACAGTCTGCAGGAGGGCACGGCTGGGGAGAGCACTCCCTGTTACCGTCCTGCCACCACAGATTGACACAAACTAAAGTCAGTTATTAAAAAAACTTGATAAATAAAATATATTCAGCTCAGTTTTATGCTGAGTGTGAAAATCTTACCTTACACGTACACGTCTGACAACCGTCCACAGTGACGTAGGACACATTGTGCACTCCACCATCCTGATCACACCCTGGAGATACGTCACACCGTTTATTGTTTTACATTTCAGACCTTCTGTTGAAACGTGTATGAAAACAAAAGTTTGTAATTGCTGATTTCCTTCATTGTCTCTACAAGCTGGGAAACATCTGGCTCTGCTTTCTTACAAGTAACGACAGAACAGCGTGACCTCAGCGCTTGTTTTCACACACACCTTTTTATGGAGTGTAACCAGAACCAGACGTGTCTGCAGACTTCCAAATGTTAAAGACTATCAAAGGAAGGTCGTACCGGTCTATAAACACAAGCATACCCCCACCTCCCATGACAGAGATATAATCGTAGCTCTAATAACTCCCAATCTAGCTGACAAGTTTATTTTGATGAAAACAATTTGGACGCCGGCACACCAAAGCACATTATCGTTTAGTGTAGATGTTTTGGCAGATAATGACTTTAATGACAGCTCTCCAAAGGACGGACTGTGCACGAGAGACGGGAATCAGAGGGAGAGATGAGCCAGTGAGTCCACCCCCTTTGCCAGCAGCTAGATCAAAGTGTGTGGTACTTTGCAAACGTGCAACAACTTGGTGCCACTGGAGACTTCTGACCTCCGTGCAGAAACAACTAACAGAGAGATAATAAGAGATGGGAAACACCACGTCATGCTGATGGTGAAAATCTGCACAATAAGCAGGACAGAAGAAAGTTACATCACTCTGTTTCTTCCACTTTGTGACAGAAATAAAAATGGGAATTCTGTTTTGATTTCAGCCCAGTTTCAATCAACCCAACATCAAGACTCAACACCAGATGATTGTGTGTCAACGTTAAGTCTGAGAGAGTGCAGGATTAAAACAAACGTGTCTGACAAAGAGAAGCTGATTGACTTTCACCTCTGCTGTTAGTTTGACAGGCGACCTCTCCAGATGTGCAGGAGCACACAGTGTTCAGGTCAAGCTGCCAGCGCCGCCCCTCCTCCACTTTATGTCCGTCCCAAACGCACCCCCGCTTCACACACTCACACCCCTCCAGGTACGTGACACGGGACTGCAGATCTGCGTTCTGTTTCCAAACAAAAACCCTCCGTTTCATTTTGAAGCGTTTCATTAAATCTTAAAGGGATCCCCGATTAGTTGTAACATTAGACTTTATATGATAAACATATACTTTAACTGTAAAATAAAGACTGTAAAAATACTGTAGGATGTTCAGTTTTTATAATTTTTAAACTAAAAGTTTAAAAATATCTTACACAGATGGGGCCATTTTATTTACACGCAAAGCATTCTGGGTAAATGATGACATCCACTAGGTCATCGGCATGAGGCTGCTAGTAAGCTATATCCACTCTGAAGGTTAATCTTGGACAATATCTGATGATCGACTCTTTTAAATGAAACCAGAGAGCGTTGACAGAGAGGAGAAGGTAGAAATGACTCAGCCTGTAACTGAAAATATGGATGGAGGACAACAGAGCTGCTTCATGGAAGAAGAACCTCAGCTTAGCCTGTTAGCATTAGCGTTAGCCCTGACGCTATCCCCTATGTATTAGCTCAGCGCTACACATTCTCCTCTCGTCACTGAGGTCCTCCATCCACATGACAGAGAGGGGAACACAAAAATGACTCAGCCTGTAACTGAAAATATGGATGGAGGACCTCAGTTTAGCTTGTTTGTCGCGCTAGCACCGAGCTAATACATATAAGGCAATATAGTGTGAGGGCTAGCACGAAGGCTAACAGGCTAAGCTGAGGTTCTTCTTCCATGAAGCAGCTCTGTTGTCCTCCATCCATATTTTCAGTTACAGGCTGAGTCATTTCTACCTTCTCCTCTCTGTCAACGCTCTCTGGTTTCATTTAAAGAGTCAATCGTCAGATATTGTCCAAGATTAACCTTCAGGGTGGATATAGCTCCATAGCAGCCTTACACCAATGACCTAGTTGATGTCATCATTTACCCAGAATGCTTTGCGTGTAAATAAAATGGCTCCGTCCGTGTTAAAATATATTTTAAAAAAATTATAAACTAAACAGCCTACAGTATTTTTACAGTCTTTATTTTACAGTTAAAATAAATGTTTATCAAATAAAGTTTAATGTTACAACTAATCGTGGATCCCTTTAAGAATGTGATGGTTACCTGAGCTTTGACCATTTCCAGCATACGGCTCAGCTCCTCCAGCCTCTTCTCCAGCTTGTCCACCCTGTCGTCCGTCTGCGCCTGAGAGACACTTCTCACCCCCTGAGGAGGTCCAGGAGGCCCCAGCACTGCCGCTCTCTGCTGCCGGTCACTCTGGAGGTCCTGAGGATGATGGCTGCTTTGCTCCTGAAGCCAGGGGTTTGTTTGACGTTCATTGAGCGACGCATCGAGATGAACACTTTGACTGGTGTCAGCTGGAGCGTTTGGACTTTGTGTGTCGTGACGAGGCCCAGGCAGGTCATCTGGAAGAGACAACAAGAGCAAAAATTTCCTGAATCATTTTTTAAATGAGCAGAAATAACTAAATCTTAAATAAACATCCTGGAGGTCAAAAGGAAGACCCACACTGAAGAATAACAAACACACTGTTTGAGGAGATTTCATGCTTTGGACAAAAAGCTCTTCTTTCGGTGCATTGTTTAATTGGATCATAGTCTAATTTCAGGAAAACACACTTATTTGTTTATGTACTTCTTAATTGGATCTAAATATAGCAAATTATTATAAGTGAACAATGAAGAAAAATGGAAAATTATTTTTTAATTACAACAAGTAGATTTTGTAAGCTGTCATGTTAAGAAAAAGATTTCCATCCTCTGTTTACAAATGATCTTTATTTTCCCACCTGTAACGTTGTCACAACTCCACGGACGCCTCGCGTATGCTTTCAGTGATATTTCAGCTGTCTTCAGAAAACCCTGGAAACACACACAAACACACGCACACATCAGAACATGAGATAAAAAGTGCTGTGCAAAATAATTTCCACACACTTTAACAAAGCTGTATTTTACATCTTATACCGAATATCGAGTGATTGATGATTTACACTGTTTTTTTTTTGTTTGTATGTGTTTTATGCTGTTTTTTTGTTTATTTGGGTTCATAACAGCCTGCTCATTCAGGCTAACGGCGTGTTTGTAATTGTACTTTTTCTAATAATATTTAACTGTATTTATAAATTGAAATTTCTTCAATTGCTTCAAATTCAATGTTCCCTTTTAAAACTGCTTCAGCAGCTGCCTCTATTTTAGTCTTCTTATGCTACTGTTAGCTTTTAGTTAACTTGTGTTAACAATAAGCTTATGGCTACTTTTAGATTTTAGCAAGATTTTTCAGCTTTCAAACAGGATTTAGCTAATTTCAGCTTTTATCTAAACTTTAGCTGATGTTTTTAAAATATTCTTCAGCATATTTGCTCTACTTTCTACTACTTTTAGATTTTAGCTTTAATTCTTCTTCTAGCAAATGTTGTGCTATTATTAGCTTTTAGCTACCTTTTAGCTGCCTTTAGCTTTGAACTGCCATTAAGCGGCTTTTAACTTTCAATTATTCTGTTACTTTAAGCCGTTCAAATAGTTCTTTTTGATGTTTTTAGCGTTTAGCTACAATTTTGAGACTTCTAGTTTTTAGCTATTTTTAGCTTTTTGCTGGGTTTGATCATTTTAGTTTTTATCTAAGCTTTTGCTGATTTTAGCTAATGTTTTGCTAATTTCAGCTAGCCTTTTGCTACTTAGCTTTTAGTTACAATTATGTTCTTTTTAGTTTTTATATAATATCCAGCTTCTTTTAGGGTAAGGCAGCTTCAGCTTTATTTGCAAACTTCAGTTTCAGTAAAGTTGTGCAGCAGAAAACATTTTTAGACAAAAAGACTTTCTGTTTGTTTTTTTCTGTGGTTTTTGTTATTTCCTGAAAGAGAAGAAGATAAGACTTAATTGCAATATAATTTAGCTCATGAAAGCTTTTGAAAAACACAGATTTCTTTTTTCTTCCTGTCTTCAGGAATATGCCGTCTGCACAAGAAACTTACATTAAATTTGCTGTCGTTGCTTTCTGGAATGCTGCCAAGAGCAATGACCACATCTGGAGGAACTTCCCAACTGACCCTGTGCTCACTTTTTATCGGTAACACCACAGCATCTTGACACTCAACAAAAAACACCAGTCTGTCGGGCTCCAGGCTCACGGCCAGCTGGACCCAGATCCCCCCAGAGAGAGGATTTGTTTTTGGAAAGAGAAGACTGACAGGAGCTCTTCCTCCAGATAAGCTTAATTGCAGGGTGTCATCGAGGGTAGATGAGACGATTTGGAGAATAGGTGAGGACGTCGAGGAAAGAGAAAAAACGGTGGCGCTGGATCTCAGAGCCTGACGTCCCACCAAATGCACCCCCATGTTGCCCTGAAATCTGGCGTGAAGGCGATGGGAATATTCCTGAGGCAGGATCAGGTGAGCTGCTCTGGGACGAATTTTATACATGAAGCTGCTGGAAGTCTGCAGCCTGGACACACCGCCTCTGTGCTGGGACAGGTTCAGGGCCGCCAACAGGTCAATCACTGGAAGAGAGATAAACGAGAGTCAAAATGAAACACAGTGAAGGAGCAGACTGAGGACTGTTTCTGGGTTTGGACCAGAACAAAAAGTCTTGAGAAGAAAGAAGAAAAAAAACATCATGTGGCTGCCTCTTAGATCTCAAACTTTCATGATTCCTTCAGTCAGCTTCTCAGAGAAGGCAGCGCAGCAGCAAACAATTAAATGAGGGGAAAAAGCAATGATCGAATATTCTGATTCATCTATTTTCAGTTAAGAGGATGTGCAAACAGAAAAACATGTGAATGATTTACAAAAAAAATGCTTTTTGTCTGTTATTAACTTGCACTGATTAGTCTGAAAGTCCTTGTGGATTGTGGGAATGACTTTCTACATATTTGGTTTGTTTGTCACGGTTCGTTTTTAAAGAGTTTAAGAACCAAGTAAACATTTCAAAGTGGTACGAGGAGTTCTGTCGCCATGTAGGAGGGCTTATTGGTCTGCAAATGTCCTTAATGTCAGTGTCAAAATCTAATTTAATCATCTAAGTGCAACTGAGCTGACCAAAGTGCTTAAAGTTTAGCCTCCCAAAATATTAAATACAGCAGTATATAAAAATTGCCATGCAAATAAAAGAAAAACAACATTTATCGAAAACACAACACGTCACATTGGTTTGCACCAGAGTATAAAACAAGCTAAGTAAAGCGGCTCAAACCATATAAAACTTTACAATAATGTGCAATAAAATCTTCGCATCAATTCAAAAATGGTCAGGAAGTCAATGAAATGAAGTCACGACTGATAAAAAATCTCAAAGTAAACAGCAGATGCACATTTTCCTATAAGAACAGCTGTAAGAAGATGAGAAGCATCTCTCACTTTAACTGGCAGTGGTCATAATGTTATGGCTGATTTGTGAACCATGAAACATGACAAAATCTCACTGTAATAAAAAAAGGCCAAAAATAAATAGAAGCTTCATTTGAATTCACGTTTTGTCACAAAACTTTACAGTAAATGTTACATCATGGTATATTATATATATTTTCCACATTGCAGTCATAAACTCCAGTATTCACCGCCTCCTTTTAAATGAATTATTTGGAATTATTCAGCTTGCTGCTCCCCTCTTATGTAAAGATTTGTTTTAGAGGCAACAGTTTATCAAAATAAGCTTTGGGCTATATTTTAACTACAAGCGCCCTGAATCTGATTCTCCACATAAATGATGTAAAACACACTGGAGCTCTCACCATCCTCAGGGTTTGGAGCAGAGTGAGTCTGCAGAGACATCCCAAAGATCCACAGCAAATGCAACTTCAGCAGCAGCACTGCCCTCAGCTTGCTGCTCTCCATTCTCCAGGAGCAACAACAACAATAAATTAAAAAAATTAAAAAAATAAATAAATAAAGCCAGTTTATGTAAAAATCATAGCGTTTATAGTCGTTTTAAGCTGATCTGATGCCATGGAGCGTAACCTGAGTATTTCACTGCTCCTCTTCTGGCAAACAGACTGCTCCAAAGAGCGTGCAGGGGGGAAACATAAAACATCTGGATGCAGGCAGGGCGTCACTGACTTACAGTCCCTCCCGCCCCAGGGGCCGTAGGTTCACAACTCACGATAAATTCAAACACATTTACAAGTATTATAAAGATATTCTGGCTTTTTATGAAGGGGGAAAGACATGCATGTAAAATTGAAAAAGTTAAGTGTTCTGTGTGCAGGAGGTAACTAACTCTTCTCTCTGCTTCATTTGCTTTAAGTCTTTTCTTCCCTTGCGTTCTTTCTTTCTCTCCCTCCCACCCCTGTTTTGTGGTGTTGATTCTCTGAGACCCCCATTTGGTAACAAGCTAAAACCTGGTCTGGAGACTGGAGGGGAGCTCTGCCAAAGCAGCCAAAAAATCAGTGTACAGACAGAGAACAGATAGACGGCAGGGAATAAATACTGCCACATTTCACTGCTTTTGGAAACATCTCGCTGTGCATACCCACCACACTTTTTTTTTTCATACTTTTCGACTCTTTGCACAAAAAGACCCACACATGCCCCCATGTCTTGATGAAGTATTGTGCTGGGAAGACCCAGATGTTTCTTAATGAATGAAGGCAGACAGGAGGGTCTCAGACAAAGATCTCTTCTTTCCTCATTCCAAACAAAACCTCATCCATGACTCACTCCTCTGTAC